AGCTAAACTGAGAGCTTGAATCTGCGCCCTGCTCTGACGTCGGGCCAGCAAAGCTAAACTGCGAGCTTGATCGTGTGCCGTGCTCTGACGGCGGGCCACCAAAGCTAAACTGAGAGCTTGAATACGCGCCCTGCTCTGACGTTGGGCCACGAAAGCTAAACGGAGAGCTTGAATCTGTGCCCTGCGCTGACATTGGGCCACCAAAGCTGGAGCTATAGGGGAGGATCAGATTGTGTGGATTCCATTTCCTCTTGTGAAACGCATTGCACCTGTTGAGCGCGATTGTGCCATGAAACTGAGAAACATTGCCCTTGACGTACATACCACCGCCAAACTGCTTAGCCTCACAGTCATCAAACTGAAGGTGGCCGCCACGTTGTTGGATGTTCCCTTCTAGAACTGCGAGCCCGCCTCCATGGCCCATTGTGTGGCAACTGAAGAAGAACATATTCCCACCATTCTGCTTCACCTCCCCTGATTGGACCCACGCACAACCACCGCCCCAAGGGACAGTATTCATCAGTTTCTTTGGCCAAGACCTACACCTGTAGAACTTCAAAGTCCCATCCATCTGCGAGATATTGCCTTATGCCACCACCAGACCGCCTGGCTGCACAGTCACCAAACTGCACGATGCCACCATGCTGTTGGATGCTCCCTGCCACCACCCCAAGCCCACCTCCAACACCCTCGCTGTAACACCCGACAAAGGACATACTTCCATCCTTCTGATAGATTTTACCTGATTGGACCCATACACCACCCCCACCAAGAGTATGCCTATCCGAGTCTGATTCAGCATATTTCTGCAGGGTCGGGCTGCCAGAGCCCCAGCCTAGCTTGCTCTTGTCAGATTCCAAATCAGCATCCTTCTGCAAGATCGGGGCAAAGTCCCAGCTTAGCTCGCTCTTGTCAGATTCCGATTCAGCATCCTTCTGCAGGTCTGAGCTGCCAAAGCTCCAGCTTAGCTTGTTCTTGTCAGATTCCGATTCAGCATCCTTTTGCAACATTGGGCCACCAAAGCCCCAGCTTGGCTTGTCATTGCTCTGATGAGATTCCGCTTCAGAAAGCTGCTGAAAGCTTTGATTGCTTTGAACCTTGCACCTATCGAGAAGCATCCTCCCATCAAGCTGTGAAATGTGGCCCTTGATGTACATACCACCGCCAAACTGCTTAGCCTCACAGTCCTCAAAAGCAAGGGTTCCGCCCTGCTGTATGACATCACCAGAATTGACCCATGCACCACCGCCGGAGTTTGCGGCTATGCATTTCTTGGAGCTCAATCTGCCACCCTCCGAGAGAATCATGGGGCTCTCGTGGAGTGCCAAGCCACCACCATTCTCGGCTTTGCAATCCTTGATCGTCAAATTGCCACCTGTGACTCGAAGGGTTAGTTTGCAAGAATTTATGTGTCTCTCCAGCGAAAAGCATACTTGCTTGTTACTCCCTGGTTGAGCATATATGGACAATTCTGGCAATTACCTGACCTGTTTTTGCTCGATTTTGAAACAGAGGCACCTGACTGCGCCAGGTGGCTACGAGCCAAATAGATGCCTCCGCCCATCTTGGCCATGCAGCTGTCGACCATCATCTGGCCCTTGATGAGGGAGAAGCTGCCATCTTCAATGGCCAATGCACCTCCTTCCCCTCGCAGTTCCTCCTCGAGTGTCAGCATTCCAACAAATTGACAACGCTTCAACAACATCTTTGTTGACCTTGGAGATTTGAGAAAGGAGTCGCCGACGCAAAATTCTGATGGCCTCTCTTTGTTGAGGACTCATGATTAGTTTATCAGCGCGAAGGACCCAAACTGCTTCCTATGCAAAACAAAGTCCTGCAGCTGACAGTGGTCAATATCACTGATGCCGTTTTAGTACGAGGATCTTGAAACAAGCTGAAAGTACATCCAGCAGCAGCACAACAAAATGCCTGAATACATTAGTCCAGAAAGGATCGCCTGAAACATATCAACTACTTTCTAACATCGACACATCTCCACACTTCCAACTGACCTCCCAGTCACTTCGGGCGACTCTTCTCCGATCTCGGCCGACAGAAGCAGTGGCTGAACTTCAAGCTGCCATGTTTTTGCGTCAAGGCCCCTGACCTCGCTGCAAAAGAACAACATTCATTCATATCAAAATGCAAAGGATGTCCAAAGTGCAGGTGATCCTTGTGCCACTATTGAAAGCAACAAAATGAATACACCACGTCCATGTTCATGTTAGAGTCGGTGGGCAAGTGTCCTAGACGAGAGCTTTGGTGAGCATTTGATATTTTGAATCTCGAAGTTCCAGATTTTTGGACGGCCTTACTATCAGACCGCCACCCTGAAGTTCCGCTTCGCAATGGTGAAAGGCCAATGATCCGGTCAAGTGCACACCATGGTCACCACAAGCGAATCCTGAAGCAACTTTGGCGAACATGCATGCGGTGTTGTAATCTTGAACTCAACCGTGGCAGTATAAATATATCAACAACGTTGAAGTCAAACACCCTGTGACTTCCATTTAGATGAGATGACCAACAACCAAGAGCACACAATGTCTTGAATTGGAATTGTGTAAGTGTAAGTTCTACTTGTTGCGTCGGCTTTCGCCAAATCTTGCGACATATCTCTTGCATGTGCCTCCACCACTACTCTTCGCAACACAGTTCCGGAAGGTAAGATTGCCCGTCGGCGGAATCTGCAGCCCACGTGCTTGTCCACCACCTCCACTTTCCTGGGAGTCGAAAGATTACGGATCCTACAGAAAAAGAATGTCGTAGATGCTTCGATTGGTCGCTTTAAGGCTATTTGATTGGTTGCCATGAAGAAATACCATCGATCTTGGCCCCCCTTGCTGGAGTCAACCTCGCTCTTCTCACCTTCTGAAGACTTGCCTCTTCACCCCGCCTGAGAGTTGACGTTGCTGCAGTTCTGGATCAACACTGTGCCGACCACTGATAGGGTGCCCGTCAATTGGAGACACGCCTGGCGCACATCATGAGAGGGGTGATGCCTACAACTCATGCCAGTGTGAAGGTTAGTTTACTGCGGCGCTTGTTGCTTTTCAGACACGAGGGTTTTACCGATGGCAATGCGGCTTGTTCAAGACAAAAATCCTGTACTACATACATGAACTTCAACGTTGAGATTATGCTCGGCAAATATTTTAGCATTGCTCAAGCACACTAGCACACTGCAATCCGCTGACCTTGTGGAATGGCCTTGTAGCATAAAACCTTGTTGCAAAAGGCAGTGAGGAAAGGCTTGGATACAAGTGTAGAACATGGCAAGGGCGTAGTATCACAGAACATACATACTCGCTCAATCTCAAACTTTCTCCATCTTTACCAAGCGCGCCAAGGGTTCAACTGAGATCAAGAATGTATCGCTCACTTATAAAAATAGTCCAGGATACTGCATGCTCAGGATTATTCTTGGGAAGCCTTCTGATAACATCAGATACAAAGGCACCTCGAAATTCTAGCGGAAACGCCACAACAAGAACATGCATGTATATATTCAAGATTACCCCTTTCGGGCCCTTTGCTCCGTAAGAATCGAAAGAGAACGAAGAACCCTAATCTCCAAGTAGCTCCATGTTCCCGTGCAAGGTGAGGTTGTTGCCAGTGATCGGGCCGTCCAATTGTATCCTGCAAGCCCAGGGAAGGATGTCTTGGGACCAGCTCCAGCACTGTATATCACCAGGCATCCCGATCGAACTGCGATAACTCGTTTGCGTCGTCCTTGTGGCAACGGCAGCAGAAAGAAACGGCTCAACACGATTTAATCTCTGGTGGTAAAATCCAAGAAGAACACACAAGTAGTTGCATATAGTAACCAGATCCAACAAGCAACTAAAGCAAGTTAGTTCATGATCATATCATGAGTGCCGACTGCATGAACAGGTGACGTGTGTGGAAACTGCGCAAGCACGCATCATCTAGATTAGATGGCACCTAAATCCACACCCACTCTAGTCTGGCATGCCTCAAATCTGTCTCGACGCCTCAGGTACCCTGTAGTGCGGCAGGCCCAAGTCCAAAGAGCCCCCAAGGCAGCTTTCGTCATTGAGTTCGGAATGCTCCTGTGCAGGTTCGGGGGGCCCGAAAACTGGACCTGTTCACCCAGGGTGAACACGACCCACCCAGAGCTCAAATGAGAGCTTTCACGGGACAACCCTTTGGTTACTTTAGGCTCACCAACAAGCACTAGCCAACCAACCAGAACTCCGCTGCCAGTCCTGCCACCTGATCTTTGTCTGATCCCCGGCGAACAAAGCAGATTGAAGTACCTCTGTGTCAGAATAAGGGAATAGAGGCATTCTATTGGAACATATTGGAACTATATAGCCTGGCAATCCAGGTTCTGTCCGTCTTACTTCACCAAAACTGCTCTCGGCTCTGGCAGAGTGGTGGCCCATCACAAGCCCGTGAGGCTGGCTGCTAGAACAAACAGCATGAGCATGGCATAACATGCTGAGCTTGCAAAGAACTGGACAAATAACGCTTTAGCCACCGACACATGTGTTACATGCAGCCTAACAAAGTGTCAGCAAAGAGTAGTACAATACCACACGCTCAGCAAAGTGTTTCCTCCTCCTATGATAGGTCCACTGTTCGGTGTCACTTTGGTGGAATGGCATCAGTGATTCAGTGATCACTTCTTCAAATGGTCCGCCAAGTTGCACTCGGCCTTGCCGCATAAACATTTGGAAATTGAAATAAAGTTACATGGCAAGCAAGAGCGAATGGGACACCCAAAGGTGTCATTGAATTTGGCCACATGACGCTGGCGATCAAACAACTTTGATTTGATTTGGGCCACAGTGGCTGTTGTCCATGACCGCAGAAACTCTGGGCACTTGCAAATCAATATATTGACCATTACAATGACCCTGAAACAGCTTCCATTGGCACAGCAAACTAACTGGCTCCCAGGCAGTGCATACTTCTATAAAAATGAACCGCCATCCGCCACTCAGCCGCCACTCCGATACTTCGTTCTGGGTCGCTTCAGGCTCCCAGGCAGCGTCTAGCGCGGCCGAACCACCTGAGAAAGAGTCTGAAAGGCCGTCGTTGGTCCGAGTTGTTGAGGCACTCCTCAAGTCCCTTTGGGACTGGAAAAGGTCATGGGAACCATTTCCCTGTGGAAGAATCCATATTCAATCCATATCAATGCTGTGACACCCATATCAGAAAGTTAGGGAGGCATAGAGACATCTGGAAAGTCTTTGGGGTAGTCGATGTTCCCTGGCAATCAACAATCTGACCACGTTTGAGGATGAACCCCTGCCCGACCCTCCACCTACCATCGGGCGCCCCCGACCCTGGCAGAAAGATCTGATACAGGGAAAAAACCTTTTAACGGGAGCACCAAAATCCACGATTAACACACTAGGCAGCGTCATCTACCAAAATATCTTCCCACAGCAGCACAGCAGCTTCATGCCAAGCAGCTGGGCTCCACTTGCGGTGGTGCTTGCTGTGCCTGCCCAAGCGCTTTGGTCTGTGATGCGGAGCAGAGGGTTCTTGCAAGGTATGAAGTGAAGGGCTTGTCATGTTGGCGATTGGCATAGCTTGGTTTTGATCCTTGGACGGCTGGCTCAGTACGTCAAGACCTAGACATCTTCGGGCATCTCTAGGTTTCTGTGGGGCAACTCTTAGCACCAACCACAAGAAATTTAGTTTGGATACCTTTAGCAAAAGCCACGAACGTCACCTTGCTCGCAGGCTGCCGGTGTCCTTTCCAGAGCCTCCGATTTTGGGGATTTCCTGAACTTTCCTGAGATCTGCTTGGTGGTCCATTGCAGGAGAACAAACCTAACCCTCAAGTACATTGCCCAGTCCTTCAGCAAATCATTCAACAACTTCAGGATCTCTTCGTCCACTGGGCGGATTCCTCCAGCTGGCGTGGCGAAAGGCGTCCGTGGAGTCCGCGTGCCATGACGATCGTGCGGAGGACTCATGACGACGATCGTGACTCCCTTGTCGTGATCATTCGTAAACAAGAAAGCTCTCACTGGATGTAGCATAGGAAGTCCAAAGGTGACCCGATGTGCGATCATGTGCGATCTCTGGTGGGTCACTCCGATTAGAACCGAAGCCAAACCCCGGAGCGCCGTGACTGGTCTCGCGACTCGCGCCTCCACCGTCGGTCCCCTTCTCCGACAACTGGCGTGATTGAGGGTGTGGGTGTGTTCACATCTGGATGTGACTTCAAAACCAAAACATCATGGCAAACTCTGGTCCAAGTCATTGGCCAACTCTGGGCTTAGCCCGGCTAACATGATGGTTTGGGCACCAGAAACCTGGGCACCAAAACGAACAGAACACCATAATGAATGGATGGTTCTCATTTGCGCCTTCGGGAGAACGATGTTTTGCTCGTTCGCACGAGCACGCTCGTTCGTCAGGACATGTTTTGCACGTTCGTCATCGGGTTCTTCGCACGTGCGGTTTTCGGCGTGTGGATCGGTGGTTGTCGCCGGCGCAAGGCGGCAGATTTGTTTAGGCAAGACTTCAAGAGGAACCTCCTGAACACATTACTATGCACTCGGAAAGACTCATCCTTGGGATGTTTGGCACATTACTTGCCTACCAATATAGGCTCCCTCAAACCATTTGGGTCTAATGCAGGTAAAGGCACTGCTCCCTTTTCTGCTCAGCATGATGCACCTGTGCACTCCGGTCGTTTGACCAGCAGGCGGCTTGGTCATGCTGGGTGACACGCCTGTACACACCTGCGCGGGTCCCTGGGGCTTGACGCGATCTCGGGGCTGTGGCTGGTGCACTGGAAACGACCTGTAAGACTGCAAGAACAGTCTTAGCCCCCTCATGGCAGTCTGGTGCATCGTCTGAACAGTGAGTTTCAAGGTGCTTGAGGGGCTCCTGCTCTGATAGAAACAAGAACTGACGTGTCCATTTTAGCCACTTGGTCACAGGAGATACTCCATCAGGCTGTTGCATTCACAACAGTGGTTTTGCTAAAGATATCCAATAAGAACCGTAGTGAACTCCTCGTCTTGCTGTTGTGGTGTCCCCTGCAAGCTGCCTGTCCAAAGGTTCTTAGAGATCACCAAGGTGTGGGCCGTTGGTGATTGCACATGAATCTTCAGGTTGTCGTAGATCCTAGATTCCGTGGTTGTTACAATAGCCAGCTGGAAATATTCCTGACCAAAGGTAATGTGCCAAGAACTATCATCATCATACACATCAGCTACCCTGCCATGACCAACCATTAAGCCGCCCCTAATTGATGTCTATAGCTGTGGCAACAAAACACTGGTATCCTTTCCTGCACGTCTTCACCCTGCTCAGATCGCATCAAGGCATGTTCCTTTGCTCAGCTCAGCCACTCCTTTATCTCAGCTTTTGCTCGGCGATAGTCCTGGCAGCTACAGTATGCGTTGTTTAAGCCCAAGTGGTTGGCACGTCCGGCGTGAAGATGATGTTGTGAAAGCCGTTTAAGTACTGTTGGTAAGACATATCTTTCAAATACCTCTATTCTGGGACTGGGAACCTCCACTCATATTCAGATCTCGGGTGGAATCGCATAAGCCTGACATGATGGAAGATAGAATAGAGAACAGGACCCACTTATAATGCAGTGGACTTGTGGTCCATGTTCGAGGCAGCATCATCATCCAACGAGTGAGCCGAATGGCTTGACATCGGCAAGATCTGGTGAGAGGGAGGGACTTGCAACTGATCATGGGGTGGCTTTATTGATGTATATTGATGTTATATCATGTTATGCAAGTTCACAAGGTATGACTCAATCAACTGAAATCCTCAATCCAATCAAATCAACCATAGCATTCTTAGCCTCCATCGAAATACGTCTTGGCGCAACGTGCAATCACCTTTTCTTCGTTTGTGACCCCAAAACTCCCCCCCACAGTGTGGAAGATTTAAGGCATGACAGCCGCATACAGCCACCAGTCCTTGCACTTCTGGTTGTTGGCTTTTGCTGGCTTCTTCCTGAGTCGGTTCCCCTGCGGCAGTCCCAAGGAGTTCGGAACTGACGTTCGCCGTACTCGGCGGTATACGATGGACAGTCACGGAAGGACTCGGAACGTCTTGGCAGAACGATTTGATGCTCCAGGAGCGTGTTCTATAGCTGGAACGTCAGTACAAAAAAAATGTCCGGGACAGTGGAGACTCTCCAAGCGAACTCTCCAAGTGGAACCCTCCACAGCTCTGGTTTGGCAACCCGAACAAGACCCTTTTCCATTTGATCACTCAGTTGGCTTTCCTCAAGACTCAAAACCATACAACAGCCGCATGAAACCACGGTTGTCAACAATCAGCTTCGTCTGCATGGAAGGTATGAGCACATGAAAGGTACCAATTTGAAGGTTCCCAAAAGACAGCAAAAAGAGGGTGTTCCTGAGCTTCCCAGCTTCTGTTGCTTCTGCAGGTTGGCTCTTGCCTAGCAGTTTTTTCGGACGAGAAATAGAGACCACATTCCCAGAACTCGTCCGAGTTAGACTGCAATGTTGCTTGCCGATTGGCACAAGCTGTCCGTTCCTGCGGTGTTTCCCTCAGCAACAGTGCTGCATTACGCTGATTTCTGTGGGTTTCCTTGGCTGCCCGAAGATCTTCCACTCTGCCCCCCGTGGGTGGCTTTTCTTGGGGCTGCAGTGGTTTGTGGAAAGGTCTTTAGCGGGATCACCCCGGTCTGGACGTCAGCCAAAATAGAATTAGAGTCCACCTCACATAGACCACACTTTGTGGAGGGATGTGGAGAGTAAGTTGGAGCAAGCAGGACGCTGCTCCAAATCCGCCAAGTTGGTGTTGGTGGGGTGGGAGTTTGGGGAACCAGTAGCGTCCTTGCTCCTAGTAGCAATGCCCTTGTTACTAGTTACTAGTAGCTTCTTGATACTACATCTTCCAACTTGGTCAGGAACTTTCAAGCATAGGATTCCAGAACCTATCCGAACTAAACCGCGCGCACCTCCTTAGCAGTCTGCCGCTTCCGCACACGCCGGCCGCCGGTATTCACATCTGGCCGTGGTCAAACGGGAGGAAGTTGTGAGGGGGGTGATGGCCCAAGCATCCCAAAACCCCACCTATGTTCTTCTTGAAAGAGAGGGGTCCTGTCCTTTGTTGCCTTGTCTTGTCTGTAGAATAACGGTTGGTAGAGGAAGTTGACCTCGCTTTGCAGTCTAGGGTCCAGCTAAGAACGGGACTACAGCCTGGCGGTAGCTCTTGATTGGCCAAAATTGTTTTGGATCAAACAGCACCTTTCAGAGGAAACTAAGATTTGGGTACTCTGCCCAAAGTGTCCAAAGACCTGGCAAGAAGGTTTGAGGTAGTAGGAGGACCAGTCACCAGACTTCCTAGCTCTTATTCCAGTACTGTCGGGTCACAACTTCAGATCGGGATCTCCGGATCGCTTGGTGGACGCTTCTTCAGTGGGGGCCATCTTTTGAAGCACGGCTCCATTCGTTGATGCTCTGCTCTGGAACACAGCTACTTGGTGCCCGACTCAGCTGGCCAGGCGCAGCCTCTTCGTCCTTTCAAGCAAATCAGCTGGGTGGAACCCCTGCCCCAGCACCCCAAAGTACCCCCAAGCACCCAGCTGTTCGATGTTTGACCTCCGGGTGAGGATGAAACGTATTAATAAGTGATTAAAAGACCGACCCGACCCTTAGCGACATTGCCTTGAGTATCCTTTAGTCATCTGGAGGTCAAAGTAGAGCCAGGA